TTTTTAAAATTAATTTTGCTGATTTTCTCCCCTTGTGTTCCCTTAATGCTCTCCTCAGATCCAAGATTGAAGTTGTTTCTCTTAGGTTTTCCCCATTAATTTTCTCCAGCTCCTCTTTTGATTGGCATACATCATCCAGCACACTCTCATTTCCTTCTTCATTATTCCCTGTCTCTTGTTGACTATAATTCTTCAGATGTTCATTGAATAATTTTGTCGCTTGGTAGTGAGATCTCACTATTTCTAGTATTGTTTGAAGGGTAGATTTTGTTTCGTCCCAAAATTGTCCTTGTTGTGCCATTCTGTTCCAGCTGCCCAAGAGCTTAAGCCAAGATTCGAAGCCCTCATGTCTCACAGTCCAGTTCGATGATTGTATCCATGTCCTAATTGATCCCTGGCAAATTGATGCCAGCTAAACAGATATTCCAAGTCTCCAGAGTCAGTCCAAAGAGTCCGCTTTGGCTAAATAGGCCTGAACCAAGATTTAAACCCCCAAAGTACCAAGGTACAATGCAATGGTTGTATCCGCAGCCTGATGGCCTAATTCCCACAGGTTTACGCCAGCTAGTCAAACACAAACACTTCCAGCTCCCGGGGCAGTTTCAGAGGATCTACTTTGGCCAAATAGGCCTGAACCGAAGTTCAAAGCCCCCAAATATCACAGTCCAATTCTGTGTTTATATCCATGTCCTGGTAGCCTAGTTCCCACAATTCTGTTTTAGTTTATAATGTCTAATGGAACCTGCCCTGAGTAGACTGTCTAAAAGGGTGGGAAACAAACAAACAAACAAACAAACAAACAAACAAACAAACAAATAAATAGAGCCAGAAGCATAACCACCTTGGGAAAGTTAGAGCAATGTATGGCCAATAAATATTCCTGTGTTGAACATGTGTCAAAACACAGACAAGCCAAAAGAGATCCAGAAAACAGGTCCACCAGCCAGGCAGGAGAGGCATTGCAAACACTATGTGAACACTTAATACTGGCAAGGCAGGAGGAAGCTCATTTGTTAACAAGTCCTGTATTTGACCTGTTTTATTCCCATATCTGGGAACAGGCATTTCCCTCTTCCAAAGCAAGAATTCAGTAAGAAACATCTGAAATATTTAAAGTAAAAAGAAGAGAGGTGCACGGGTTACCTACAGTGCAGCTGTTCATTACACGCGGAGCAGCTTTCCTCTGAATCAGACAATGGCTCCACTGAAGCCCTCAGCTCTAGGCCCCTTTTCCCACCCCAGGCCTGATGACAGGAGATGACAGGATGGAACCTCAGATTTTCTGCATGTGAAACAACCCTGCCTAATACACAACTCAAGCCTTCCCTGTGTAAATGTAAAAGCAAGACAAAAAATTGGGCAAAATACAGGAAAGTCCTTCTGTATGACTGGAAACAGAAAAGACAAGTAAGTTCCACTAGAAAGTAATTCATGCAAGTAGCACCAATTAGCTTTGTCCTACTCCTATTCCACAAACTGATTTTAATAAGGTGGAGGGGAGCCAGGAAAAAAATCTGTCTAGGTCCAAAAAATCCCAAACTATGGAGTCAAATAAAGTACTTATCTTCATCTTAATGCAGACCAGCAAAGTCAGTCCACCCAGAGAGCAATGCTGGTGCAAAGAGTCATCCCAACCCCAACATCCCCAGGGTTTAGCAGTACATCAGTCACAAAGTCAGAGTTGGAAGGCACACACACCACATGCACAACCACAGTTCTCTGGAGACAGACTCCACAAACCGAGGCTCTGTTATATCCACAGCTGTGACAAACTGCATTGCAGCTAGAGAAACTGAATTTGGTAAAGAAGAACACAAAAAGAACATGAGAGTCTGCAGAAAGGCCTTTGGTCTGTCTGTTCCAACAGCAGAAATATCCTTGTAGCATCATCTAGACATCGAATGCATCAGAAGCCAACAGAAGGCCCGCTGTGGCTGAGAAGAAAGAGAGGAAGGAAACAACCTTACTGACAAAATGCTCTCTGGCTGGGTGATGTCTTCATCCTGCAGGGACAAGGAGAAAAGTGCAGGATTACAAATACTCAAGAGTCAAGAGACTGATCACAAAAGTATCAGCATAGTTATCTGTGTCCAACAATAAACAGAAACCTGAAGAAAAACAAAAGGGTGAACATAAGGTGCCATAGATTTTTTTTGGCCACGATGCAGGTGGACATCAAGAGTGCACCTTCTGCTAACCTCTTCGACCTCTGAGCAACATAGATAAACTCAGATTTATTGCATTCTGCCACAGCTCCGTAGGTGACACCTCTAGGGAGGGGACCAAGGTGGTCCAGCCAGTTCCAATCCCACCCCTCTAGGTCCAGTTCCATCCCTTACTGGGTCTGGGGCCCCTCCCTTCACTCAGGGACCCCCAGACCCATCCTTTTAGTCCCATGACTACAAGCCAACATGGCATTCCCATTGCCGATGCCTCTTCTGCGTGGGTGGGGGCCAGAGGCTCCTTGGCCCAAGTCAGCTGCCTTTGCAGTAAAGCAGTTTCTGCCTTTGGTGGATGATCCTACTGAGAATTCTCGGAAAAGGCAGGTGCTGTCCTTCCTGGATGGTCCTGATGCCTCAATCTCAGGCTCCTCTGATTCACTGCCCTTTGTATCCTCCTACAGTACTCTCTCCCTCCTGGAAATTAGGAACTCCTCCTTTTAAAGCTTAAACCCTATCTCTCTTTAAGAGGGCCAGCCATGTCTTCTCGGCCTCTTTAGTGGGCCCTCCTTGAAGCTCTAAGATGGGATTGTCACCTGCAGCAGAGGGTTCCCCCCTCTCCTTATTCCCATCCTCAGCATCTTCTCCTTGCAACCCTAGCATGTGCTCCTGGCATGGTTCAGCTGAGCTCACTGGTGCTGGATCCTCTCTCCCCAAGTCCTCCTTAAATATATGAATTGGCCCAAAGTTTGCAATGCCTTAAGTAATCTGCTGCTTCCTCGTCTGTGCATTGTTAAACACAGAGGGTTTCATTACCCTGCCCCATTCTCCTTTGCACACTGTGCCAGGGGGATGCTTGTCGCCCATACCCAATGGCATATGTATTGAAGCAGCAAGAGCTACTGTCGTGGTTCCCATCTGGTTGGCCTTCTTGACTCCATCACACCAGAACAATCTGCCCTTGGAGGTCTTTGTAACAGCAGGAGCAGTTTTAGCAGTTCCCTGGAAGGCTACAGTGGTGCCTTTGGCTTTCCGGATTCTACACCTGAGTCATTTCAACTTTCTTGCCTGGGCATCCTCAGGACGTCAGGACAAAAAAGTTGTAAGTACAGTGGTGCCTCGCTTAGCGATGTTAATCCGTGCAGCAAAAAATAGCTGCTAAGTGATTTCATCGCTAATCAATATTAAAAAGCCCATAGAAATGCAGTGCATTGTTAAGCACAGAGGGTTTCACTGCCCTGCCCCACTCTCCTTTGCACACTGTGCCAGGAGGATGCTTGTCGCCCATGGCCAATGGTGCATGTTTTGAAGTAGCAGGAGCTACTGTCATGGTTCCCATCTGGTTGGCCTTCTTGACTCCCAGAACAATCTGCCTTTGCAGGTCTTGGTAACAGCAGGAGCAGCTTTAGCAATTCCCTGGAAGGCTGCAGTGGTGCCCTTGGCTTTGCGGATTCTACACCTGAGTCATTCAAACTTTATTGCCTGGGCATCCTCAAGAAGTCAGGACAAAAAAGTCGCATGTACTTTGGATACTCACCCGAGACCAAATGCGCAACCACAGTTCTCTAGAGACAGACTCCACAAACCGAGGCTCTGTTAAATCCACAGCTGTGACAAACCGCATTGCAGCTAGAGAACCTACATTTGGTAAAGACAAACACACAAAGAACATAAGAGTTTGCACAAAGGTCAGTGGAAAAAGAGCCCTATTGCTGCAAAACACTGAGGCACATGTGTGTGAGCCTGTGTGTGCTCACAGATGCAAACACATGCACCACCAATGTTCGGAAGAGCTTTTATTGGATGACAACATGGCCACACAACAACCACTGTCAACATCTCTGCCAAGCTGCTAATTTTTGCATTGCCATTCCACTCCCCTGAACACCTCAGCAAGGTGTGTAAATATCTTATTTCTAAAGCTGCCTTACAGGCCTCTCTCTGATGAAGTGCATCACCATTCACCAAAACTTATGATGATGCAAAATGTTCTAATCTTTCTAAAGAGAAACATGCAAAATGCAAAGATTGTTTCCTTACCTTTCTTAATAACAGTCCCCATAAAATCTGCTGGTTGTTGTACTGGTACTTGGTAGAACTTTCCCATCCTCTTGAGATCCTTCTTCATATATTCTGCTCTTTTCGGCAACTTTGTTGGGGATTGATTACCTGTTGTAGAGGGGAGTGTGTTACAGGAGGAGAAGACAATTTTGACAAATTATATTGTCTCTTACGATCACTCACATGTGGGAGTAGGCTTCCCTCCTTCACCTTGCTCTCTGTCATGCTCAGTGTTATTGTGGGCAGAGGACAGAGGAGAACTGATGGAGAACCAATTATGGTGTGGTTGATCATGCACAGCAGCTCTGGGGGAGGGGAGCCTTTCTCCTGAGGCTCTGGAAGTATCTGAGGCTGGCATCTGCACAGGTTCAAAACCCACATGTGTCAACTGACAGATGAACACTCGAAAAATGACAGCTACAGGTAAGTGACCTGTCCTTACATAAGAAATGGCTGAAAACACCTTTCCTTTCTAGTGACATAGGAGCCATTTCTCTAAGAAAAAAAAAGATTGTTTCCTTACCTTTCTTAATAACAGTCCCCATAAAATCTGCTGGTTGTTGTACTGGTACTTGGTAGAACTTTGCCATCCTCTTGAGATCCTTCTTCATATATTCTGCTCTTTTCGGCAACTTTGTTGGGGATTGATTACCTGTTGTAGAGGGGAGTGTGTTACAGGAGGAGAAGACAATTTTGACAAATTATATTGTCTCTTACGATCACTCACATCTTATGTGGGAATAGGGGAGCTTAACTTCCTTAACACTCAACCAGAAAACCTGGGGATAGGGCAGTAAAGCCTTTTTTACAGACAACACAAAATGGTGGCAGTTTGAGGAGAAAAATGGATCACTAGGGCTTGAAACTTAGAAAATGAAAGCCCTCATTTCAATAAGAGTACTTCCAAGGAGATACATCAGATAAAGGAAGAAAAATATATGGAGTGATCTATGCATCTGTTGTGGTGTAAATTAAATTTTCTTTCCTGGAACCCCATGGCCGGCTCCTCCCTTCACCAGCTGGCACGTGCTGCTCTTCTCAGCACTGCAGGAGTCTCTGCTGCACCTCCTCGTGTGAGTGTGTGGCTGCTGGAGGAAGTGAAGAAGGGAAGTGTGAGCTCCTGCTGCAACCGTATCATTGCACAAGAGCCGGAGAACAGCAGCACATCCGGGCTGGTGAACAGGGGAACTGGCTGGTGAACGGGGTGGGGGAGGGAATGAGTGGAACCTCTGGTGCTGGACCAATGAACCAGCACAAATCACCAAACTGAGCTTTATGTCCATCTCTATTCTGAAGCAATTGTTCTTTGTAAGCAGTTGTTGCTGCTTTTTTATCTAGGAGTGCCAAATGTGAATTCAGTACCTACCAGACTCCTTTATTATGCCTGCAAGGAAAACTGGCCGCAGAAACAGCTCCATGTTCCAAATAGGACGGTATCGGCACAGAATCTACAACAATGAAGAAATATTATTCATGTAGAATGAGGTGCAGAGCTATGAGCCTCAAGGTATATTTGGAAGCCTTCATCTGCAACATGAAAGAGGTCAGATGTCCATCTGTTTCTTGAGAGACCATCACGCTTATGCCATGTGACATGAGCCTTCATACGTACTTCATCAGATGTATGCAGCACAGGCTTCTGCGGTTTAGCCCACAGCGTTGTTGCTGCCTATTTATCTAGGAGTGTCAAATGTGAAGACAGTTCAGTGCCTACCAGACTCCTTTATTATGCCTGCAAGGAAAACTGGCCGCAGAAACAGCTCCATGTTCCAAATAGGACGGTATCGGCACAGAATCTACAACAAGAAATATTATTTATGTAGAAAGAGGTCCACAGCTATGACCTGCAAGGTATATTTGGAAGCCTTCATCTGCAGCATGAAAGAGGTCAGATGTCCATCTGTTTCTTGAGAGACCATCACGCTTACCATGTGACATGAGCCTTCAGACCTACTTCATCAGATGTAGGAAAAGAAAAGAAAAAGAAAAATGTAACATTTGCAGAGGGTCCTGTTTACAGACGTCCAGAATCAGAAAGGATGTTCAAGGCAACTATAACAGGAATGCAAGTGTAAAACCTGGTAGATCTAAACATCACTCTGCATTTCAAAAGTGGCTATTAATGAAATTTAATATGAAATCAGTTTGGTGTAGAATAGGTCTGAAGTGGAGTCACACAGGGTAGAGAGACCGCTAGCTTTGCCAAAAAGCGCAACAAACAACAGATCCCACCCCGCTGGGGACTGGTCACATCCACCCATTACATATTTCAGGGACTAATCCTTGGTGCACTTCCCAAAGAGAGATATATGCCATTAGAGCCTATCATGCCACTGAAACTAAGCTGGGTGCTTAGTCAGGAACATACTCTCCTAAGATTCTTTTTATATAGTAAAAATGAAAGCCCTAATCCAAAACAATGAAATTCAATGAAAGTCATCACACCAGACATAAGAAAATGAGGTGGGGGTGAAAGTAAAAAACCAAAACAAAACACAGTTTAAACCAGAGTCCAGAAAGCTAGATCTAAGGTCAGTCAATATCTACTTGAAACTGGGTAGAGGAATTGATATAGAAAGTGAGGTTTTCCATTGAAAATTGGACCAGCTTTTGCTTCCAACTTTGACAGGGCAAAATTTCTTAAGCTTCCTGATTGTTCTGAGTTTGGAAATGAGAAGGCCAATATTTATGGGGCAGGGGAAAAAGGAATGATCTACCCTCAGCAAAGCTTTTGCATAGGATGGAATGGAAGCATAAGAAAATGAGGTGGGATGAGGTGGTAAAAAAACAAACAAACAAACAAAAAAACCCGTTTAAACCAGAGCCCAGAAAGCTAGATCTAAGGTCAGTCAATATCTACTTGAAACTGGGTAGAGGAATTGATATAGAAAGTGAGGTTTTCCATTGAAAATCGGACCAGCTTTTGCTTCCAACTCTAACAGGGCAAAATTTCTTAAGCTTCCTGTTTGTTCTGAGTTTGGAAATGAGAAGGCCAATATTTATGGGGCAGGGGAAAAAGGAATGATCTACCCTCAGCAAAGCTTTTGCATAGGATGGAATGGAAGAGTCCTTAACTTTCTCTGGAACATTCTAAAATGTTTTCACTCCTATTAAGTTACAGGTAAAGAAAGTTGCTCCTAAAAATGAGCGAGACTGAAAGACTGTATGGCCCCAGGAGTCTGCAAAGGCCAAGCTTAGGAATACTGAACAATTAAACATTAGAAGATAAAAAAGCTTAGCCTTCTCTTGGAAACCAACATTGCCTTGTGTAAACGCTTGCACCACTCACACACTTATACTTACTCTGATACATCAGTGATTTATGTAGAGTGTGATATTAAGGGAAAGATAACAACCACCTGAAGCCCCCTTTTAAATGAATGCAATCACTACCAGCTATGAGGATTAGGCATTGATTTCTATGCATGGAAATAAAAGACCACAGAAGTCTAAATGTACTTCATCCTTGGATTGAACCAGAGCTTGGAAAAGCTACTTTGGGGACTAAGAATTCTAGGTGAATACAGCTATTTGGCTGGGGGTTTCTGCGAGATGTATTCTTTAAAAGTAATATTTGCAAGCTCTGCCAAATATTGGAAGGCCAGAATGGTCTTTGGTAGAATCCACGTTCAGTGCTAGGGCTCACCTCTTGCAAATGTAGAGCAGTAAGATGAGCAGACTTTTGACCATGTGCAAAGTTTATTTCCCTTACTGAAAATAGGACATTAAATCTGCAATCATTTACTACTGCAGTGGGTCCTGCACCCATTTAGACGTCTTTCATTGTTTCATGAACAAGTCCTACAATTGGAAAGACAAAAGCAGAGGAAGGTTATTAACATTATCATCCAGGAGGTAACTGGGGTTCTGTCCATGTAACAGATTCTCAAGCCTTTGGTCCTTCGTGATTTTCTATGGTACTACTATTACTGCTACTGCTAAAATTTATACGTATAAAATTTATACGTGGTGGCACTGCAGGTTAAATCGCAGAAGCCTCTGTGCTGTAAGGTCTGCAGATCTTCAGCTGTAAGATCGAATCCACATGACGGAGTGAGCGCCCGTCGCTTGTCCCAGCTCCCGCCAACTAGCGGTTCAAAAGCATGCAAATGCGAGTAGATAAATAGGGACCACTTCGGTGGGAAGGTAACAGCATTCCGTGTCTAAGTCATACTGGTCATGTGACCATGGAAAGATTGTCTTCGGACAAACGCTGGCTCTATGGCTAGGAAACAGGGATGAGCACTAGCCCCCAGAGTCGAACACGACTGGACAAAAAATTGTGAAGGGGAACCTTTACCTTTACCTTTTCATTAGAAGGCTCAAGGCAACTCTATCCCTCTGCAGCTAGTTTCCCTTTTCAGGTACAGGAACATGGTTTAATTGTTCCTTCTTTAAACAAGAATTAATGGCCAAAAACCCCTTCCCAAGACTGGTGCCCCCCCTCAGCCAATGACCGGGTCCGGTTCCCTCCGGGACGGGCAACGCAGGAGACGTGTCCACACGGGGCGGGGGGGGGCGACTAGGGAGGGAAAGGAAGAGGCGCTGGTCCTCCTTAGCCCGAAATGTCTTTAATTGCCAGCCTCCTTTTGGTTAGTTATATCTGCGCAGGGCCATTGGCCCGCCCTCTCTCTCTCTCTCTCTCTCT